CGCGCCATCGGCGCAGTCGCCGCCGCCCGGCTGACCCGGCCCCGCGGCACCCGGACCCCGGCGGGCGCCGCAGTCCCCGCGAACCATGGCTCAGTTGGGCGACGAGGCTCGGCCCGGGCCCGAGAGCACCGTCCAGATCCGCGTCGCCATCCAGGAGGCCGAGGACGTGGAGGAGCTGGAGGAGGACGACGAGGGCACCGAGGCGCGGGGAGCCGGGGACCCGACCCGGTACCTCAGCCCGGGCTGGGGCAGCGCCAGCGAGGAGGAGCCGAGCCGCGGGCACGGGTAGGCGCGGTGGCGCGGGCCTGGCGGGGACCCGGCCCCAAGCGAGTGTGGGAAAGTGGCGGCGCGCGACGACTCGCGGGGCAAGGGGTTTGAGTCAGCCCCGCCACGGGGGATGCGACCTCCGGACGGTCCCACTTAGTGGCTTTTGGAGGCGGTCTGTGCCCCAGTCCGCAGATTCTTGATTGACAAGGCTCCCAAGGCTGGGGGCGGAGATGTGAGGGACCTGGACATGGGGGTGTTCTGGGATCCGGGAGGCAGACCTGCGTGGGCCATCCTTTCCATCTCCACTTCCGAAGGAGATGTCCCCTCTTCGTGGGCACACGGCACTCAACGCTTGTCCCAGCCTGGTGTTCACCTGGGCCTCCTTCCGATGCGGTGGTCTCCGGGAGCCTTCATTGCCATCCTCATCCTGTCCGCTCATCAATCTCTGGGTGGGCTTAGGCCAGGCACCGCTGACTTGCTGATGGGGGCGTCCAGGATGGGGTGGTTTCCTGGTGGGGAGAGCTCTTCTGAGCTCTCGTGCCTTCAACGGCCGAGGGCCTGCTGCCTTACCTCCCCCAGTCTGGGGAATTCCTGTGTCTACACTGTTTCTCTGCCTGCCTTCTGTGTCAGCAGCACCTTCTCTCCGTCTGGGGGTGGTTCCTTGATTGACGGTGACTTGGAACTGGTACAGCACCTGTCTGACCTTGCCCCTGGGCTCTGAGCTTTGTCTTCACTAGACACCTTAGGCCCTTCGCAGCTGTGAGGTTTTTTTTCTGCTGTTGACAAGAGATCAGTGTGTAGTATCCACAGAAAGGAGAGGAGGGCAATGCGCTTGCAAATTCTAAGACATACCAAGAGGCTTTTGGTAAGAGACTCTGTGGCAGGTTTTCAGCTGTTAAGGCTCTGCAAAAAGCACCCTTTCTGATAAGTATACATCTCTGTCTCTGGGAGAATGTTAAACTCTAGCCTAGGGTTGCGGGGGCACCACCAGTTAACTGATGCTCTCCCGGTTTAAAGAATCTGGATTTGGGAAGCCACAAATGTAGGGCAGATCAGTAGAGACAGCTATTGCAAGAGAAAAGGCCAGCCCCACAGCTCAGGGCAGGAAAGATAGACACAGGATATGACACAGAAGGTGTAATGGCCTCTGTATACAAAAAACTATATGCCCAGTATAAAAATGATGAACCTGGGGCTGGAGAGATGGCTCAATGGTTAAAAACACTGGCTATTTTTGCAGAAGACCTAGGTTTGAATCCCAGCACCCACATGGCAGCTAACAACTGTCTGTAACTCCAGTTCCAGGGGATCCGACAGCCTTTTCTGACCTCTGTCGGCATTGCACAACACAGGTACGCTTACCTACATGCAGGCAATACACGCATACATGTAAATAAAAATAATAAATAAAATATTTTTTAAATGATGAACCTTAGGCTGGGCATGGTGGCACATGCCTTTAGTCCCAGTACTCAGGAGGCAGGTGGATCTCTGAGATTGAGGCCAGCCTGGGGGTACAGGGAGACCCTGTGCCCCCACAAAGGAACTTGTAAACATGGCCGCTTAGTCAAATAACTTCAGAGATCATGCAAAATAACTCCAAATCCTTTGTCTTTACACCTTTATTTGCCTGTGACTGTGGCAAAAAGCTGTCCCCTTCTCAGTGACTAAATAACCAGGTCTTACTTATCTCTTGGACCTGGAAAGACCTCTGTGGAGGTCTAGGAGAAACTAATTCTCTGTATGGCTTGGCCTCTTGCCTGGTCCCTCACATGTTCCTCCAGCACCACTGTTCATCACTTTCTGCTCCAGTGGCTCAGTGGCTTGTGGTCCACGGAGTGCTCAGCCTGAAGCACTTGATGCTGCTTACTGGCATAGAGTTGACCCTTGAAAATCCCCAGGCTCCTCAGAGTACTGGAGCTAACAGAATCTGACAGGCAGACACTCAGAGCATAAGGAAATGCAGGGTAAGCGCTGTCTGTCCCCTGTTTGGGACCAGTCTGGCAAGGCAGCAACTCTTGCCCTGTGTGACTGTTCTCAGCTACCAGTGCCCAGAGAAGAAAGCCCCAGTTCCCAAATCTGCTTAAGATCTAACAACCACCTACATCATCTCCTCAGCCTATGGCTGCCTTCTGTCTGATTCACGTCCCTTTCCAGGTCCCTGGGCATGGGGTAGGGTTTGCTTTCTGTGTACATGCCTCTACCCTCCCACCTCTCCATCCTCTATTGGATTTCTAGTCAGCCTTGCCATTTCCTGCCTCATCCCCACTGCCCCCAAGCCCCTCCCTGAGCAGCTTGGTTGGTCCCTCTGTGTTATAGTACTCTTCCTTTGAGGCCTAGCACTTAACCACTGTTGTAACTCCATAGCTGGACTTCCTTTGCTTTACATGAGCTCTGTGCTGTCTGGTCCTCACTGTATCTTCAGCATCCAGCACAACAGCGTGTAGCAGGCACCCTGTAAATGTCTGTGGAATGAATGCATTCACTTCATGTGGAAAGCCATATGTCTCTTCTCCATGAGGCACTGACACCCTTGCAGGCTGATGCTTTTGGTCCTCTCCGTATCCCTAACCTAGTCCAGTACCTGGGGAAGAAGGAATATATGAACAACTACAATTAATGTGATACTCTGATGAATGTAATGTGTGTGGTCTCTCCCCAACCATTTGAAAGCATATCATACACAGACTTACACCCTAAATGCCTCATTTTGTAACTCTTAAAATTGGCATTCTCCATGAGGTCATTAACATTATTATTGCCAACTCAGAAAATAAACAATAACTTCTCTAATATAACCTCCAAGATCATCTTAACAGACAAGTTCCACATTCAAGTTTCCCATAATGCCCCATTGTGTTCTACAACTGTTTCTTCTTATCCTCAAACCAGCAGCCAGTAAATTCAGGTTGAGGTCTTTGCCTATTGTGTCTCTTTAGACTCTTCTAATCGAGAGCATGACTTTGTAAACTGTGGGTCACAACTCCATAGCTGGTCCTGTAACTGAATGTGGGGATGTTGTGAAAAATTTTTGCAAAAGTAAAAATGAAAGGCTTTCGAATGCACAATAACCAAATAATAACTTAAAGTTAAATGCCTAATCAATCTGTGGCTTCTCTGGTAGCACTTGCCCGTGTTGTATCACATGAGTTTGTTGCAGCCTTGATTCTGAACACACAGTAGGCACTTTCAGCATTGTGCATGCCCTCACACTATCCAATGTCAGTGACATTACCTGGAACACCTCAGCTCATATCTGAGACTATGGTATGTTATGAAATGTATGTATGTTATGTACATACAAAGTTGTCTGCTCTTATAGAAACAATGATTCAATTGTGGGGAAAAAAGTTTTAATATTTTCTTATTTTCATTCCTCAGTATGTATAAAGTTAGTGTTTTGATGGAATTTAAAAATTACTGTCTGAGTTGTGGACGTGTTTCCTTTTTAAAAAATTGTTAAATGAGTTTTGAGATTGGTACAGAATTTCCAGCATATTCTGAAATGACCCTAAACATCTTTCTGCCATTTCATATGATTTATTTAAGCAAAGCAGTATTTTCAAAATTGGCAATGATAAAGTCAAAATATCAATTAGCTCTGAAAAATGTTGAAGATGTTGTGTCCTGCAGTATAAAATATACAGCCAAGATTCCAGTTTGGTTTTTTTTTTTTTTTTTTTTTTGGTCTTTTTGAGACAGGGTTTCCCTGTAGCCCCAGCTGGCCTGGAACTCACTTATGTAGACCAGGCTGGCCTTGAACTCTCAGGGATCAAAGGTGTGCACCACCGTGCCCTGTGATTTCACTTTTTATACAAAAACAACCAACCACATTCATTTCTGTAGTGTGCTAGTATGCTTTTGTCTTTAATGAATGATAAAATTATATGTATACCAAGGAATTATTTTAAAATAAATTTATTTATGATTTTTCATTAATAAATATTATTTATATACGTGAATATCTAGGGTTATATAAAAATTCTTGGGCAATACAAGCTGGGCATGGTGATACACGACTTTAATCCTGGCACTCAAGAGTCAGAGGCAGGCCGTTATCTGTGAGAGTGAGGCCAGCCTGGTCTACATAGCAAGTTTCAGGTCAGCTGGGGCTCCAGGGAGATCCTGTCTCAAATAACAACAACAACAAAATTCTTGGGCAAAAATGAGCCACAAATGAGAAAAGTTTAAGAAGTCTTGATCTGGAACAGTCTTATCTCTTTCTTTCTGATGCTTTACTATTTTAAGCACGTAAGACTAGACATTTTATTGAATGCCTCACATTTTGGGTTGGTTTTCGTTGTTTCATTTTACATGCTCCTTTGCATCCCATAGAAGCAGAAGTTAGGGGCTGAGGTAACTGAATTTGGCTTAAACCATTCTGGTAAGAATACTTCATAGGCTGTGCCTTGAACTTTATGTTGCATCACCTCGGGAGACTTCTCCTCATTACTGATGTAAAATTTCACCACTTGTTAAAGGGATTTCTCTATCATATAGGTCTGTGTGGCTCTCCTGACCTACATTCTGTAGTGTGATATGTCATATTTATTGATTTTCATGTGTTCATCATCCTTGAAACCCAAGAATAAGCCCTACTTCATTATGGTAAATGATCCTTTTTTAAAAAAATGAAAAATTATTTTAAGGGCCCTAGCTCAGCACTGGTTGCTCTTACAGAAGGCCTGGTTTGGTTCTTAGCTTCCACATGGCAACTCACAACCATCTATAACTCCAGTTCCAGGGGATCTGACATCTTCTGGCCTCCTCAGGCACCAGGCATACACACAGTGCATATACAGATATATAAGCAAAAACATACATGTGAAAAATTAATCTTTTAAAATTATTTTATTTTTATGTTATGTGTAGTTAGTTGTATGTGCATTCGTGTATATATTTGTGCACACGCATGTGGGTTTCTACAAAAAGGCCAGAAGAAGCTGTCATGGAACCGGAGTTACAGGCAGTTGTGAGCCACCTGGCCTGGGTGCTGGGAACCAAACTCAGGTCCTCCG